GCACTAGCTCATAGAAATCCGGCTATGCTGATCTCTCCACCATGTCCCTCATAACTATCAAGTCCAATGCCGCTTCCCAGGCTGAGTAGGGTGACCACCGCTGAAGAGCCTGGTACTTAGGTGTGAGTACTGCCTTCTCTGTTGTTACCATGAATAGCTCTAACTCATGCTGCAGATGTACTCTTATGCTTACTGTTTATGCTGCCGAAGTTGTGATGAGTATATGACTATGAGAGGGAGGTGTAGCATACCAACATGTACCTAACATAATATATGTTTAAATATATGTTTTCCCTCATTAACATCTATGGTGCGATTGTGTGCGCCGCGCCCCCGAAAGTGGTAACAATCTACTCGCACCTACAAACAAGCTACTGCCATACTGCGGTGAACTACTGAGCAAAGGCAGGTAGCTACTGGTGCCACGGAGGCGCAGCGAGAGCCACAGAGGGCTACCAAATCGGGTACCATTCTACCAGTCTACCAGAACCCCGCAGCACCCGAAGCGCTGTGTGGCACTGGCATTTTTCCCTGATGAGTAGGGGAACCACGATGGCAAGAGCATGTCCCGGGTCCTGAAACAGTGCTCCGAGTGCAGTGGGACATGCTCAGTGCTATTCATATCATACGCAATCTAGTACATCAGGCCTGCTCGCACCACGTAGACTGCATCATCATGACACAGTAGCAGCAATTTTACCATGACAAGCTTACTGATGGGGTATGCGGGACGTTTGAGAAGTGTGATATTGCGGTACGATACACTTGCGCACTGCCGGTGCCATCGGCCAACATGGTCACTGAACAGATAGAGCCTTGAACGTACAAAGATAGCCCAACACAGGCCGCCAGTGTGCACCCAAGGCACTAAGTGTCTTGTGCAACTTTCGACCTCTGTATGTCATCATAGAGAGCTTGCGAGTGACCTGCATCTTAAGCAAAGCAGATGCGTTCATAGCCGTCTTCATCAATAGAGCCTGGAGACCATCTTGGAGGCAGCATGCAGCATTAGACTGGAGGCCGCCTCTCTTGCAGAGATGTGAAGTTGGCAGATTGACCAGGACTAGGTAAGTATCAGGGACTCGGATCTCTGGTTACTACATGACCTTCAGCCCCTTTCACTGTTTCCCACCTTCCCCGCAGACATTTTGTGCAGGAATTCTCTCCTCTACTGTACTTATAGTTTCCTTATCTGTCTCGCTTCTCACACTTATCGTGTCAGTCCATGAAACAAATTTTCATACTCCAGCCCATCTCGAGCCGGGGCTCAGTCCCTTTCTCTTGCTCAAGGGTTGTCATGAATATTACATAGTCCGGATGGTTCTCCCGGATTCCATAGTATTCTTTTACTTTCTATACACCTCCGTATATTTGTAGGATAATCTAGGTATTGAGTCTGACATGTATATAAGGAGCTCGTACTGCTCAATAACAAGCCAGACTCGAGCTGGTCTTTCCTCACTCACATTCCTCTCGTCTGTCTCCTCAGCATTGTCGTAGCTCAGTCCAGTTGGATTGTTAGTTGCTGA